ATGTGTGCATACAAGCACATGTGCACACACAACACTGGAAAATATTGTTAGACATGTTAGCACATGTCCAGGAGAATTGTGAGTTTAGAGTAGCCCAGGACACAGAGAATTCAAGTCCAGCCTGGGCTACATAGAAAGATAATGTCTCAAGACAACAAAACAAAGTAAAAATACATGGCTCTTGCTGGGTGGTGGTGGCGCTCACCTTTAATCCCAGCACTCGGAAGGCAGAGGCAGGCAGATCTCTGTGAGTTTGAGACCAGCTTGGTCTACAAGAGCTAGTTCCAGGACAGGCTCTAAAGCCACAGAGAAACCCTGTCCCCCCAAAAACAAACAAACAAACAAAAAACCCCCACAGCTGTTAAACTCAGGTCCCAAGAGAAGGAGGTATGTCATCCCATGACAGAGAGAAGACCATGAGGAACCACTAGCATCAGTTGGAGACAGAATGAAAGAGACCTGATCAAGGTTTCTATGGGAATAAACAGGCAAGACTGGGTAAGCAGGTTGAGGATTGCCTTATCTGGGTGATTTGCATTCTTTGGGGCACAGGGGTTATCCCTCTTTGTTTGCTACCTGGCTGATTTTGGAATAATTAGAAGCTGTGCAGAGTGAAGTATAGCTCACACATCTGGAAAGACCTTGTTGATGCAGAATATATTGAACCCTTAATTGCTGCCAAGTCTTTCTTGCCAGTAGAAATATCCCATCTAATATTACCCCCGCTTTGCTCAAGAAAGCTGAAAGACCACTCCTGAAGTACTCAATTTGTAAGACACTATGGTGCTGGAGTGTAAGCAGTGTGACTCATGGAGGAGTGCATAGATCCCAATTTAGAGGGGTTACATCAGTGCTCTTTAATTTGGGAGTACTGCAGTGTAGTTGTACTCTCTTGTTGGGACTACCAGCACACAAATAACAACATGGAGAGTTCTTATTATGAAAGCTTGGCCATTAGCTTAGACTTGTCCCATTAGCTCTTATAACTTAAATTAACCTGCTTTTATTAATCAGCATTCTGCTGCATGGCTCCATTACCTCTACTCTGTACTCTTTATATCTGACCTCTTCAGTGTCTCCCTGGCTTCTACTTTGTGCCTATATTCCTTCTCCTCTTCCCCCAACCCCTACCACCCTGGAAATCCTGCCTATCCTCTCCCGTCTAGCTATTGTCTGTTCAGCTCTTTTTTATACCAATCACAGCAACTCATCTTCACACAGTGTATCCCACAACACTGCAACAGCCAAAGAATAGGGTTGGTCCTGAAAGATGTTAAGCCGATCTGAAATTTCTTTAAGGAATTTTTCAGAACTGGTGAGGCATAGAGGCTAATTGATGTAGAAAGGGCTTTCATCTACCTGTTTCAGTTTGGGTAGCGACAGATGTCTAAAGTGGCAAAAACAGAGATGAGTTGGTGTGATGCCTATTTTTGGCTGTTCACTTGACTATATCTGGAGTGAACCACAATCCAGAAAAGGAGGGCATACTTGTGATCCAGATCTTGGGACTGGAAGACATACAGCTCTAATCCAGACCTTGAGGCTGGAAGGCTCACCTTTAATCTGGGCCACGCCTTCTGCTGGAAGCCTATATAAGGACAACAGAAGGAGGAAGATACTGGTTCTTCTGCTTGTCCTAGTCTTGTCAGCACATCTATCCCTTAACTGGCATTGGCACCTACTTCTTCAGGGTTCCAGCATGTAGAGACCAGCTGAGACACCCAGTCTCGTGGGGCTGAGCAGCTACTAGATTCTTGGACTTTACACTCATACCTAGCCATTGTTGGACTGCAGGCTGCAAGTCATTTCAATAAATTCCCTTACACACACGCATGCATGCATGCGCACGTGCACACACACACACACACACATACAAACACACACACACACACACAGAGAGAGAGAGAGAGAGAGAGAGATTGATTCATTCTGTAAGTTCTGTGACTCTAGGTAACCCTAATACAAGCAGGTTGTAAAAGTTCAGGTTGCAATCAATGATTATTTTAATGAAGTTATATTTCTTGAAGGCTTGTCCATCATAGAGGTGTACTACAAACCTTCTAGAGTGGAACTAAAAGGTCACACAATAGTAATTTTTGATATTTCACATTTTGGAATATATTTTAGGCATTATATTTTTAAATTTTAACTATTGTCTAACTTAATTCATTGTGGCATTTCTAGGGATGCAGAGGTTTATTTTAAAACATGAGACCCTTCTCAGAACAGTTGTACTTGACCCAAAGACCAAGGGTTCCAGGTACTCTGGATCACCAAAGATAGACATGAAACAGTGGCCCTGGCTTAATTGTCTCACCACAGAGATGATTAAAGACACAGGTAATGGACGGATGGTGGTGGTGGTGGCAATAGCAGTGCACACCTTTAATCCCAGCACTTGGGAAGCAGAAGCAGGCGTATCTCTGTGAGTTTGAGGCCAGCCTGGTCTATAGAGTGAGTTCCAGGACAAGCTTCAAGGCAATACAGAGAAACCCTGTCTTGAAAAACAACAACAACAACACACACACACACACACACACACACACACACACACACACACACACACAAAGGAGATCAGAAGCAAGTCTTATCAAGAGATTAAGGAAAAGTAAGACTTTTTAGAGAGTGGGAGGAGCTCCTAGGAGAGAAAAAAGCCTTTAATCTCCTTGTCAAAGGGCTTTTATAGGGCCATGGCAGACATTGGAGAAAGGCTGAGGTAGTTGCTATTGAGATAACTGGGTTATTCATAGGCTCACCCATTAAGATGGCCATATACTCTATGCATGTCTTCCTGGCCCAAGGCAATCATGTGCTGTTAATATTCACCCTGTTCAGTTAGGGGTGGAGGAAGCCCCCTCCATTCATCCCTGGCTCCAGCTTTGCTAGTTATCAACCTTGATTATTTGCAAGCTATTAGTCACTCGATTGCATTGTATTCCTAAAACCTTGCAAGTGTTGCCATTGATGTTAATTATGCTAAGCTTTCTGTTCTCACAGCTAAGACCTGGCTGTCAGTAGCTGTTTAGCTAACTCCTTGTCTATTCTATCACCAGATCATCGGGTGTCTCTTTCCACATGTAGATTGAAGATTTATTAGAGTCATCTTTATTTACAATTTGGTCTTTTACAAAAAGCCTCATCAGAACCAGGGATATGTCAAAGAGCAATGATGCCTAGCATACAATCCCCAGGAACAAGCCAATAGGTAGCAGCCCTCTGCTTCAGCTCCTGCCTTCAAGTTCCTGCCCCAACTTATCTCAGTGGTAAATTGCTACCCGGAAATGTAAGCTATTTCACCCTTTCCTCTGCAAGTTGCTTTAGTCATGGTGTTTCATAACAGCAACAGTTTGGCACCAGGTGTATGCAACGGTGTATGTGTGTGTGTGGGGGGTTGCAGTAAAGAAACTGCCAACACGACTGATTTCTCTATGATATGGTTAAGGTTTTTGTTGTAGATTGAGAGAGAGAGAAATCCCAGAGGTATCTGGAAGAATGCAGAGTGGAGAAAATAGACTGGATGTGGGCAGGGCTCTGTGAGAGAGGGCAGAATAACCAGAGATTTAAAATAGAGAGAGCATAGTGAGAAGAGGAAGAGCTGAGAGCTGAGAGCAGAGAGCAGAGCTGGGTTATCAGGAGGGGGGTTAGGCCGGATGGCAGTGGTGACGCACACCTATAGTCCCAGCATTTGGGAGGCAGAGGCAGCAAGGCATCTAATTTGAGGCCAGCCTGGTCTACAGAGTTAGTTCTAGGACAGCCAAGGCTACACAGGGAAACCCTGTCTCAAACTCCTCCTCCAACAAAAAAGAAGAGTGAGTATCTGGTGGGTAGGGATGACTGGTGTGGGGGCCTTGAAATATATAGCAAGTGCTAATGAGTAGGCCCTGAGGGAGCCTGGAGGTTAACATGGATCTTGATATGTTGATAGGTATCAGATATGTTGATATGTTAATTGGAGAGCCATATGTCACTTTTGCTGGATAAGGGGAATTAATTTTTGCTAGACAACAACCAGCTTCACACGTTACTGAGGAATGCTAGCTTTTGTCTGATCCCCAGCACAACTGCCATAGTTCAGGTTGAGCTCGTTTCTGGTTCCTTAGACTGTCTTTTGGAGTTTCAGGAATTGGAATTTCCTTTGGGTTTGACAAAGACATAGCTACAAAAGGCTAGCCCCTGCATGATTAGTATCTTATTTTAGGGGAGACAGAACTGAGACCCAGGATAACTTGTACTAATAATTAAACTACAGATACAAAATATGTGAGCACTGGCTTAGGCTGAATGAACAAGGAAAGGGTAGTTCTAGGGTACAGGATGGGTCAATGATTTTGTTGTTGTTGCATAACCCCTACCCCATACTCATGTTGTCTCTGAATCCAAAAGTCTTGTCTAAGACAATTCACAGGTATGGGAAAAGCCAGTGTTTGAAGGGAAGAAGGAGCAGAGCCTATGTTTGAGTTTGCATTTGCTAGACAGGCTGTTTTATTCCTTTGTTAAAGAATGGTGGAGTAAGTCTTTAAAATTTAGGTTCATTTAAGGTAAAGTCAAAAAACCTGGCGGGGAGCACAAGGCTATTATGCTCACACTCAGCACTCAGGCGGCTGAGGTAGGATGATCTCTGCCACTTTGAGGCCAAAATAGTCTGTAATTCAAGTTCTAGACCAACCAGGGCAACCCAATCCTTGTCTACAAACAAACAAAAAAACCAATCCCTCAAAAAAAATCACTACTACTACTACTAATAATTATTACTATTATTATGGTTTTTCGAGAGAGGTTTCCCTGTGTAGCTTTGGAGCCTGTCCTGGACCTAGCTCTTGTAGACCAGGCTAGTCTCACAAAGATCCGCCTGCCTCTGCCCGGCTATTCAAAAAGAAAAAAAAAAAAAAACAAAGCAAATATCGATAATGTTGCCAGTTGGGTTAAACTCCGGAGCTCGCTGGAGGATCTAGTCCTAAACTCTGGTTTTTCTTCCAAGAAAGGTGTCTTCGCGTCCTTCCTTAGCGCAGTGAATCTTGGAGCGAAGTGGCCCGCAGCCTCTGGGCCACCCTCCGGTCGTCATGGAGACGTCGCACGCCCCAGCAGGCTCCTCCTCTCATAGGGCCGGGGGCGGGGCACGCAGTGGCGCACGCGCGTTTTCCGAGCGGCGTCGCGGTGGTTGCCGGGAGCCCGACCAGGAAGTGGAGGGCGGAGCGCGCTCCGCGGCCAGTGGCTGGACCCTCCCTCCCCGGGCAGGTCGGCGCTGGGCGTGCGCGTGGCGGTGGCTGGGGCCGCGGACTAGGGGCGGGAAGCGGAGCCGCGGTGGGAGGGCGCGCGTGCGTGCGGCCGAGGCGGAGGCCGGGAGGCGGCTCGGGGTGCGGGCGCTGAGGTAGGAGCCACGGCGGCGGGCGAAGCAGCGAGTCACCCGGGGGACTCGGCTGCCCGGGGCGCGACGCGGCTTCCGAGGGGACGCGTGTGGACGCCACGCCGCCGCCGCGCACCTCGAAAGGGGCTCGCTTCCAGCCAGCTTTGTCTTTTAGGCCGAAGGTCCATAAGGCAAACTTTTGGGTTGGAAAGCGGGAAGATTCCCGGTGGGCGAGCGGGTTGTGCCGCCTCTGGGCCCCCAAGTTTATGTTAGCGCGAAGCGCAGCGTGTGTGGAGTAGGGGTGAGGGTGGACCACGGCGGCCCCTCCCTCCCCAGAGCTGCCTCCCGGCTGGCGTCTGCCCTGCCTTTTCTAATGCTCCCGAACTTGTGTGTGTTTTCTGCTTAGTCGAGAGGCATTTCGGAACGCTTAGGTCTGTTTCATGGTGCTCCAGCAGAGAAGCAAAGCTAAGAGTAGACAGGCTGGAAGATTGCAGATTCTGGGGTGGGAGGAACTGGGCAGTGAGTGGAACGTGAAGATTTTCAGTTTTAGCTTCTCAGTATCTGTGCCATATGAAACGTACTAACTTTCTGTTGGGTGTCGCGTTTGGAGATTTTGGTTGACCAAAGTAATGAAAAGTGGATGTGGCAAGTAGTTTCTCTACCACACACACAGGCTAGCTCTAGAATGAGCAGTTCACACGCTGCAAAAGGAGTAAAAGTTAGCTGGAACAGGAAAGCTGCTTGCTCTGGGTGCCTTTTTTGGTACCATATAGGTCACTTTTGTTTTAGAGACCTTTGCTAGGGTTTCTGAGCTGAACAGTTGACCTCTTCCAGCTGTGACCTTAGACATGTCTCTCCAACCCAGGTTTTATTTGTTAAAATTAGAGATAGCACTAATGCCTAGTCTTTCAGAGTTGTGGGCATTATGTACTGTTAATTTTTCGTAAATTGAAAATCTTGGATCTGACCTATAAGTATTTTTTAAAAGGCCAGGTTAATCATCTGACCTTACGAAGTAAAGTAGAAATGTTCCCTGTTTTACGAGTTGCAGTCTGCCTGTTTCCTCGTATTCTCACTTGGGAAATTTTTCTTACTCTTGTTTTCACACTGTTCCTCCTTTCAAGACTCATACTTTCCTCACTTGCATATTTATACTTGTTACTTCTTACCAAATACAACCAGAATAAAGATTACTCTTGAAAAAAAAAAACTTCCATAACTACTTCCTTACTTTTGCACGTACAACATTGATAGCCCCCCTTCCTCCCAGTATGAAATTGAATTTAGAGCAGTCTTGTAGCTCATTATTGCCCAGGTGTTAGGAATTGAAACTGAGAAAAGCATCTCTTTTACTCTCAGACCAGGGACTCTTCAACTCTGGTTATCTGAAGTTCACACTGATTTTTCTTTTTTCTTATGAGTCTTTTTTTTTTTTTTTTTTTTTTAATGATCAAGATTAAATCTGAGGCTTCATAAATGCACACTACCACATGGTATTGTCAAACAAGCTCTATCTCCAGGCTCCATCTTGCTGTTTTTTTTGTTTTGTATTTTTGGAACAGGATTTCACTGTGTAGCTTTGGCTGTCTTGGAACTCAGTCTGTAGAGTAGTCTGGCCTTGAGCTCACAGAGATTCACCTGCCTTTGCCTCCAGTGTGTGGGATTAAAGGTGTGTGCCCCCATGGCCCAGTCATCTTCCTGTTTTTATACTCCAAGCATGTGGCACCAGTTAGGATTCTTCAGCATCCCTGAAGATATGGAAGCAATACTTAGTAAAAACTGAACTTGTTTTGATGTTTTTCTAGGCTAACAATTTTTAGTACTGATGCTGGGCTCCTAATCACTAATGAGGTCACAAGGGCACTATTGATAATCCATTGTGTACAGGGTTGCTGGGCATTTATGTTCAGTACAAAGGATGTATTTGATGCATTTTCAACTTAAACCCCTCATACATTGAAAATAATTTTATCAGGCACCCTCTGTATCTTTGTCCTCCTTTCTAAGCACTAGTTCAGTAGTGTGAAATTCAGTCGTAGAGGCAAGTATGAGCTTTTCTGAGGCTTCAGGGTGCTAGGAAGAGTTGAGAAAAGAATTTTTGTTAGGTTCTTGGCTTCTTGGTGATTCTGGTTGTGTTGAGATTGCTTTAAATTGCAGAGTATTTTATAACTGGGAAGGAGGAAAATCGGGAGTTTTCTGTATAAACACCTTCCCCCCCCCCCAACCCCGTGCCTTACTTGGTTTCAGTTGTCCTAGAATTCACTATGCAGACAGCAATCTGCCTGCTTCTGCCTCCAGAATACTGAGATGAAAGGCATGCACCATAGAGGCTGGAGAAATGGCTCAGAGGTTGAGAGTATTGGCTGCTCTTCCAGAGGTCCTGAGTTCAGTGCCCAGCAATAACCATCTATAATGAGATCTGGTGCCCTTTTCTGCATGTAGGCAGAACACTGAATACATGAAAAATAAGAATAGATATTAAACCTGTCAGTGATGGTGTACTCCTCTAGTCCCAGCACTCAGGAGGCAGAGGTAGGTGAATCTCTTGAGTTGAGAGTTTGAGGCCAGCTTGGTCTACAGAGCAAGTTCCAAGACATGCTCCAAAGCTACATAGAGAATTCAACTTGTAAAGGGGAGAAAGGCATGCCCCACTATACCCATCTTCTGTAGACATTTTAAAAACTTTAATCCAGCTGTCTTAGTAAGAGTACACTGGTTTATAAAATGCACCATTTCATTTAAAGCAGTTTTGATTTTTTTTCCTAAATTTGCTTACTAATTTCTGCCCAGATTTTTGTTTCTAGAGCACTGGTAGAAATGATATGTGAGCTCCATGTGTGAGCCATGTTTCTAAGTAAAATTTATGTGTTTGTATTGCAGCAGCAGGCAAGTGTTCTAGCAACTGAATTTTATCCCCAGCCAGAGAGGGGCAGAGACGCAGAGAGATGTGCATTTGTGTGTGTGTGTGTGTGTGTGTGTGTGTGTGTAATTTTATTTAATTTGCATTGGTATTTTGTCTGCATGTATGTCTGTGTGAGAATGTCAGATCTCAGGGTTACAGACAAGTGTAAACTGCTGTGTGGGTGCTGGGAATTGAACCTGGTTCCTCTGGAAGAACAGCCAGTGCTCTTAACCACTGAGCCATTTCTCCAGCCCCTCTGTATATCTGCATATATATTTTAAACATTTAAATCATTTATTGCTGTTAAAGTACAAATCTGAGTCTACACACTGGCAAACAATACTTTGGGAATCATATGTAGGCACGTGGCTGAGGGATATACTATAGTCATTAAGGAGAAAGTCAAGAATTTTGAGTACTTCAGTTACAAAATGTTGTTCTTTGATTTTTATTATACAGATCTCAATAGTTTTACCTTCAGTAATCTCTAGTAATGTGTAAATTATCATTCTAGATTATTAGTTGCATATTTTGGACTACTCTAGATGACAACTGTTAGCACTGATAAGGCAGCAAAGTGTTGATTTAGGATTTCTTGGCTTTTCTATAAAGTTGGCTTTGTTATTAAATGTAGCATTCCATGTTTTCCCTTCAGCAAAACTGTTTACACTGATCAGTGGCTGGGCACTCTAGTCATCTCATAGTTGATAAGCCACCCTCCATGAAGAACATGTACTTTGTTACATGACATGCAAATAAGAAACCAGATTCCAGGTCGTATCTTGTATTTGTAGGCAGGTCTCCTAAGTGTCAAAAGTATAGCAACAGAGGATGAAAGTCATCTGCCCACTGAGAATCTCGAGACTTCTAAGTATCATTGATGGCCAAAATGGGGAGATCCCATTTGGCAGCTGGGTCCTTGAAGTGCTTACTCCTGAGATGTGGGAGTCTTTGTGTACCTCTGCTTCAGCCATGGCCATGCACTTGAGGGGCAGCCACTATAGTTTTACAAAGTTAAAAAGTGCACTGATGGTGATGGCTCAGCATGTAAAAATGTGTGCTGTGCAAGCCCCAGGATTTGTTTACTCCCTAGGACCCACAAAAAGCAGGGTGTGGTATCTTGGTGGCTCTTACCTATAATCCTATTAACACCAATATCAAGAGGAAAGATGGAGACAGGAGGATTGCTCTGAAGCTCCCAGGCCAGTTGCTGTGAAGTATACAGAGTGGCAGGGAAAAAAAAAAAGGGTGGAAAGCAAGAACAGATTGTCCAACGTTGTCTTGTCCTCTGGCTTCCACAGATATACTAAGGCATGTATACTCATTCTTACATAAATGAACATGAGCTGGCATGCATACACAACAATAATTTTTTAACCAATTAGTAAAATATATTATTAAAAAATCTAAAACTACTGCTTACACATGCAATTAATAGAGCATCTTTGCCCTTAGAGGGTTCTTTTTGGTGCCAGGTCTTAAAGTTTGTGTGCATGTGAGTCTGTTTTGGAGACAAGGTCTGGTGTAGTCCAGTATGACCTTGGGGTATCCAGCTTAGGATGACCTTGAACTTCAATCCTCCTGCTTCCACCTCAAGAGTGCTGGGGGTGGGGGTAGGGCAGTTGCTGGCATGAATCACTATACTCGTTGTTGAAGATTTAACTGAGGGCCCTGTGTGTGTGCTAGGCTAGCACTGAACCAACAGCTTCACCCCTAGCTCCACAGTCTGATACCTATTTTATACTTTACTCGAATCCCAGCTAGCACATTTGAGATATAAACAGGTTCATGTGGGTCATAGTGACCACTGTACTGGACAATAGAACTGGAGGGCTTTGGAGAATAGCTGTGTTTTTACTGACCTCACTGCTGCCTATTGCACCATTTTAAAATAAATGCATAAAAGATAATTTTGTAGGAACTAAGGTCTGTAGACTTGGCATGCAGATTTGAGTGATCTGAATTTATATTATAGATGCGTTTGTCTTTATAGCATTATGGATCCAAGCCTGTTGAGAGACAGAGAGCTGTTCAAAAAACGAGCTCTTTCCACTCCTGTGGTAGAAAAACGTGCTGTGCCTTCTGAGTTGCCCTCGGCCTCATCCAAGAAGAAGAAAGCAAAAGTTGAACATGGAGGATCATCAGGCTCTAAACAAAATGCAGGTGAGTGTAATTGTTTTAGAACTGTTTCATTTCACTTTCTCAGGAAAGTAGTAATGGCAAGTTCAGTTTAATTTTGAGACAAGGTATCTGTGCAGTCCTGGCTGGTCTGGAACTTCTGTATAGATAAGAATGTCCCACAGAGATGCCTGCCTCTCCTTGAGTGCTGAGATTACAGGCCTGTGCTATCACACCAGCAAGTTTAACATTCTTAATGAGTTTTAGATTATTAGTCAAATAAAAAGGATGGAATTTAAGTCCATACATTTATAGTCTCATGTTTTAAAAATTAGGATATTAGGGCTAGAGAGATGGCTCAGAGTTTAAGGGTACTGGCTGCTCTTCCAGAGGACCCAGGTTCAGTTCCCAGCACCCACATGGCAGCTCACAACTGTCTGTAACTCCTGTTCCAGGGGGTCTGATACCCTCATACAGACATTTGTGCAGGCTAGACACCATTGCACATAAAGTAAAATACATAAAACTTTGTGTAGCTGGGGAGATGGTTCATTAGATAGGTTGGAGGACTTGAGCTTAGATCCCAGTCCAGGGGTTTACACACCTGTAATCCCCATCCTGGGGAGGCAGAGAAGGAAGGCACTCTCCACAATTGTTAACAGACTTCTAGGGAGGATGCCCCGCTCTCCCCTGTATACATGTTTACTTACCCAAATAGGGAACTTATTGGCAGAACAAAGTGTGTATACTATCAAAGTTGGACTTGGTGAAACAAGGAGTTTTATTAGGATTATTTTAGGAGCAGAAAGGACTCAAAAGACAACTGTGTCACCAAAGCTGGAAACCTAGTAGGCAGCGCCACTGGTCAGGAGTGTCCTTTCTGGATGGCTTGGCTGGTCTCTGTTCTCAAGGGCTTGTCTGGATGTGACTCTTAGCAGTCTTTACCGGTTTTGTATTCTTGGGGAGAAAGAGGCATAGTGAATCTGGTCAGTTTTAGGGACTTCCTGAAGCTATTTTGAGTTGTTTACTTCCTATCTTGTGCTTCCCTGCAGGATGGGAACTGCTGCTCAGCCACAATCCTCTTAACATACCAGCTATTCTGCATTTATT